TGCATTCTTTGTAAGTGGGCAAACCTGCAAAATCAGCAAGGGGTCAAATACTTATTTCCCCACTGTATCTGCAGAACACACTGTGCCCAAAACTGTTAAAAACACATTGAAAACAGATTGATGGTAAATGTACTGCATTTCTGCAGGGACCAGATTGAAATAAGTAGAAAATCTTAGAACACAACACAAACAGCTGATAAAAATTTCAGTTGAAAGCCTGCCCAGGTGTCCTGGGGACAGCTTCAGATGGCAGTAGTTTCAAAACAAGGATCAAGGGACACAGGTTGGTGGGGAAAGAAGAGTGGCAAGGAGAAGGATTTGTGGAAGACAAAGGAGAAGAAAACCAAGAGCGGTGGTCTCTGATGAGATAAGGGCCACAATTATTGGCCATGTTGTTGAAAGAAATAGTACGGATTTCCTGGCACACAACAGGTGAGATGTGCATCTTTCAATGATAACTGAATTACATTTTATGGTACAAATCAGTATGTTTACATTTTTACATGTACTGACATTTTACAGTAAAATGTATTGATTGTTTGTGTCTTACTGTAGGATACAAAGGTTGCCTCCCAGGCAACAATGCAATAAAACTGCGAGAAATTCAGGACGGAGTGCTGGCAGAACAATCTCACTTTTGGAACTGTGAATTCGGTCAGACAATTGCCAGAGTCCTGGAGAAACATAAATTAAGAACGAAACAGTTGTACACTGTACCATTTAAGAGAAACTGAATGTGTGAAAGAACTCCGTTATCAATATGTCCAGGTAAGATGTCTGAGGTTACATACACAGCTATAAAAAATATTTACAGTAAAAAAAAACACTAGCATTACTACAGTAAAACTGTGCACTTACTGTTTTTCAGAAAGTAATGGAGGTGGAAACACTGGAAACACCACATTCATTTGTATTTATCGATGAAGCTGGATTTAACCTTTAAGTAACTGATTAGCCCTCAATTATTTGTTCAAATTACAGTATGTACTTTTAGTTTCTACTTTTTTTTTTCTCATTACTGTAATTCTGTAAATTACTACAGACTATTGAAGCAAACTGCTAATTTTCATTTACCTTAAGGAATTGTTATGTTCAAAAAATTTAAATAAATCATGTGAAAGAATGTCACTCTTTTCTTTGAAGAAAATATTACTTTCTATGAAGTCACTGAAATTGTTCAAACTGTAAAGATGAAAAGTTTGTATTTTCTGTATTTGTGTTTGATGCTAGTGTTTTTACACTGTGTGTGTGTGTATGTGTGTGTGTGTGTGTGTGTGTTATCTCAGTGAGGGTTGTGCATAGTGTTTGGCTGCACCAAGCCTGTTTTGAGCCATGTGTTAAGAGTTGTGTTGCTTGGAATGAGTTTTGCAGGTGATGTGAACTGTTTAGCGCAGGTGACTGAGTTTGCACATGTAGCTCCAGTTGTGCGCACTATCATTTAGCAATTGGGGGGGGGGGGACTGTAAAACTGTGTATTTACTGTATTTTATAAATATATCTGAGAGCAACCGTAGATGTCCCAGGGCAGAGAGGAGCTAACATCACGATGTGTGCAGCACTGTCCAATGATTTGCTGTTACACAAACCACTCATTGGCCTCGACACTAGGGAGAGGCTTATGTCTTTCCTGGATGACCTGCATAATTGCCTTGCGCCAGCGGAGGAGAGTGGAGCAAGAAACTCCCCTATCTTTGTTGTTGTGTGGGATAATGTGGCATTCCACCACTCTGCTGCTGTTACAGACTGGTTCGCTTTGTTGTTTCAGCTTACAGTAAAGTTTTTCAGTTTGCAATACGATCCATAGAAATAGAACAAATAAAGGACATTGAAGCAAATTGCTGCATTTACCGTCAAACTGAAAATATGTGAACCTAATTTATTTGCTCACGCTTCAAAGATAAAAGTTCTTCATTTATGTAATGCTCCCTGTTTTTCAGTGTTATGAGTGAGACTGTATGCTTTCTAAATGAGAATTGTTGCCAGTGTTTTCGTTGTACGAGTCTATTTTGAGATTTTTTTTGGAGGTAAGATTAACTGTTTGGCCAGGATGCATGTTGGTAATGCAGACTGTGTAAAGAGTTTTGAAAAAGTGGCTTCAGTTCAATTCAATTGTATTTATATAGCGCCAAATCACAACAACAGTTATCTTACAGCGCTTTTCATAAAAGAGCAGGTCTAGACCGTACTCTATGATGCTATTTACAGAAGCCCAACAGTTCCCACCAAGAGCAAGCACAAGGCGACAGAGGCAAGGAAAAACTTCCTTTTAACTTTCTTCAGTTGTGACCATTGCATCTTAGCAATTACATAATTAGTGACTTTAGCTACTCACTGTCACTATTGCTGGACAGATAATGCAGGGAGTACTTATCAGCAATTTTCCACTGAAAACGGCTGCCGCCTTCAGCCGGAAACAAGGTTGAGAGTGCAGTTTGTGGGTGAAACACTCCAGAGAGCGGAACTGCAAAGCTGAGGGATAAGTCTCTGTAGATTCATCACTATGAGTGACCCTTTTTACATTACATTTAGTCATTTGATTCATAATTTACATAAAAATGTTGATTAATGCAGCTTTAAGAGAGGAAGTGCACACATTTACTGGATATCAGCTTTTATACCCCCACTAAATACATCTTTTTACAAACTGGAAACATCTTTTGTTTTTTTTTTTATGTGAGGTCACAACTATATGAAAATGAAATGCTAAATCTTCGGATTACCCCTTTAAGGGCCTGAAAAAGTCCATTTGCCCAAGGGTTTTTATTTACTGGGATAGACTAGCAGAAATGCTAGATATACCTGTAGACAGTAGCTGGATTTGACTAGCCACAACCATGTTTGTATTTAGTCTCCACCTAGGAAACAAGAAGTGGCTTTTGTTTACATCTGTCATTGTCTTTTAAAAGGTTTCCACTCCAGTGCACTACCATAGGAGATAAAGATCTAAGATCGTACTGTACATGTGTTAGACTTAGGATTTAAGAGGCCTCATTGTGTGTGCTTTTGGGCATGAAGCCCTGTGGTCACATCACGTCAAGCTGCAAAAACACAAACAGATGTCAGGGATCACTGAACTTTCAAACTCACCATAATAGATGAAATAACTGTAAAAATCCTAAATACAAAAATACATCTCCCACTGTCCTCATGCTGCTTCACTGGGCTCGTGTAGCAGCCTTTTGCAGAAACAGAGAGCAGTAAGTCAAACACAGGTTAGAAGTTACTGACTCATGAGCTGACACATGTCATTTGCTCTCTAAACTCTGCTCACCCCTCTCAGAAAGAATCTGGAACACTTCATGTAACAGTGACTTACATTTTAAAACACCATACGCACATTAGAAAATGATATATACCATTGCATTGCAGTACGGATGTGTTTCCAGTGCACTCTTCCATGGAATTAATTTTACAGCTTGCAGTGTTTTGGCCACAGAGGGAGGACTAACAGTGTATGCAGCAGAGGGCATGGATGAGTGCCCGGGTCCCACAGCTGCATGGCACTGGGGCACAGACAGCCCTTCTCTCTGGGGCACATTGCCCCTTTTGTGCCCAACACACTGAACCATTGATCTGAGGCACCCTCATGTCCGCTACACCAACACAGCTCAGGTCAGCACAGACTCCAGCAGGGTTCAGTGAACACAATATCTGACAACATCTTGCATGCAAACATTCATTTGCTTAACGGCCCTGTCAAAAGAGTGAGTTACTGGGGAAGTGAAAGCTGAAAATGTTTTCAATGTAACTTCTAAGAATTCAAGCAGTATTTTGGTAAATCCCTAATAAATTAGGGAACATTAATCTCAATGCTAAATTTATGAGCTTTAGAAGAGTTGTTATCATGCAAAAATATAATATCATTGATAAATTCTACCAAATTCAGTGAGATTCATGAATAGATAAATCAATTCGGCCTTGGATTTACACACCTCTGAATGGGATGTTTATAACTCTTTTATTAATAGATGAATAGAAATCTCTTAAGGTGTATTTAGACTAAATTCAGAGCAAATCTGCCCCTTGCGCTATTCACAAGAATTTGATCACTAAAGTGTTTTTGCAGTGTGTATTATTTTACTCTAAATACCCAGTGTAATGAATGTCCAAACATTCCCTGTGGAGAACCAACCGCGTGTGTGTTTGTGTGACAGCTCAGACTTTAAAGCTGTTAATATTAATGTTTTATATTAACAATGTTATCACATGACTACTTGTATGTGAAGATAAGCATAACCCGACTCTGCAATCTACTGTCTGGCTCAGTCTCATCAACCATGTGTCCAGCAGAAGTAGGCATTTATTTTCAGTAAAAAAGAAATACCCCAGAAGTGCTGTAAACACATTGCAGCAGACAGCTAGACAAAGTTAGTTAACCTTAGTGAAGCATTTAGCAGTCAAGGAGCCAGATATGTCCAACAGTGAGCTAGAGTCAACATCGGATACCAGGTGGCTAATGTTGCTCGTTATCTGCTGGATGTGTAAATAAGCAACCATTTGCTAAGTTCACCACATGAACTTTTTAAGGTGATTTTTTGGGTCAGTGCTTTATTAGCTTGTTTCACTGTCTCCAAGTCACCAAAAAAGTTGATAGCTGCTTTAAGTGAGATAAAGGCTATACTTTGGAGATTTCATGGTTCACAACTGAATTGCATTACAGTGAAAGTGAACAGGCATTTTATGGGCATTTTACAGCTTGTTTTCACTGCCCCCAAGTGGCCAAAAAGAGGCAGATTCAATGGATCTCATAAATCAATATGAATTCCTGTTCTCCCTGTTGTTTAAGTCTATGTCCTTTTTCCTCTTGTGTTTGCATATGTATGAATTGGAGTCACACAGCCTCAGGAAAAGCACAAAGTTTAAACATTTTCTACATATGCTGTTGTATCTTCACTTCCATGCACATGCCAGAGATAGGGTGAATCCCATAGACTTATATGCTACTTATATACATATTGACTTTGGTGACCCTCCTGACTTTTCTTCTAGCGCCATAATGTGGTTCAAACTTGTAGTTTTGAGTGAAATGTCTCGGCAACCATCAGATGAATTACTATGAAATCTGTTCCACACATTTATGTGCTCCTGGGGGTGAATTGTACTAACTCTGGTGATCCTCTGATTTCTAGGAGCTTCAGGTCAATATTTTTTTTGCCCAACACTTTCATTTAATAACCAAATAACTGGGAAACTAGTGACATTTCCTTTAGCCACAGCTGCACTTTGTGTTTGGTGTTAATTTACAACAGTCACCATGCTAACACTCTAAACTACCAGGTACATGGTAAACATTATGCTGACTAAACATTGGCATGTTAACACTATCATTGTGAGCATGACGTCAGCATTTTACTCAAAGCACCACTGTGCCTACAGCCTCACAGAGCTACCAGCAGGACTGAAGCCTTGTTATGAAAGACTATATTGGTTTCATCAGGTTTCATCAAAAACTGAGGCTGGAAACAGACAAAATGTTCCAACATGTGCATCTTCAGTGATAGATACTCTTTGACACAAACAGGAAATGAAGATTTGAAATATGAAATATCAATCTACACTGTCTCCTATGCCATTCAGGGTCATTATTGCAAACTTTTCTTCTCTGTTTCTACTCTTCAGACCTTTTCCTCTTTTCCTGTTTTTTGGCCTCCTTCTTCAGTACATATGAATGTGTTGGTGTATAGAACTCTCCCTCTGCCCCCTTCCCCCTATAACTCTTGTGCACAACCACTAACCAAGGTCAACACCACTTCGTTTGTGTTCCATTTACATAGCCAGAGCTGTGTAGGAAAAGTGGATTTTTTTTCAGGGCACACAAAAAACAGAGAGCTAGCAAACCATGAGGAAATAATCTCTGAATTAACAAGAAGTGAATTGAACTGACTGTAAACACTCAACACAGACATGCTGATTGTTTTGCTACTTCTGTTTAGAGAAGAAATTAATGTTTTGGTTTGTTTGCTGTTTTGAAATAAAGGGGCTCTTCCATCTTGAAGAAGAGAGTAATGAATTTGCCCACAGTGTGACCACAGGGTTTTTAGGCCATCTGTGTCATCCCATTACTTGACTGCCAGAGCTTTTATGAAGTATCATGCCCTTGGTTTACCTTTAAGATATATTAGT